GTCGTGGTGGCAATCCCCAAACCCGGTGGTGGACACCGGAAGTAAGGGATGCCGTCAAGCTGAAGAAGGAGTCCTTTCGAGCCTGGTTGGCTCGTGGGACTCCTGTAACAGCTGACGGGTACCAGCAGGCCGGGCGGTTGTGGAGGCAAAAACTCGAGTCTGGGAAGAGTTCGGTGAGGCCATAGAAAAGGACTATCGAAGAAATTCTGGCAAACCATCCGGCGCCTCAGGAGGGGGAAGCAGTGCCCTGCCAAATCTCTTTACAGGGGAGGTGGGCAGCTGATGACCTCGACTGGGGACATTGTCGGACAGTGGAAGGAATACTTCAAGGATCTTCTCAACCCCAGCATCACATCTTCTAATGAGAAAGCAGAGGCTGAGGGCTCAGAGGGGGACTCGTCCTTTACCCAAGCTGAAATCACAGCGGTAGTTGAGAAGCTTCTCAGTGGCAAGGCACTGAGGGTGGATGAGATCCGGCTTGAGTACCTTAAGTCTCTGGACATTGTTGGGCTGTCTTGGCTGACACGCCTCTGCAACAGCGCATGGCGGTTGGGGACAGTGCCCCTGGACTGGCAGACCAGGGATGGTGGTCCCTCTTTTCAAGAAGGGGGACCGGAGGGTGTGTTCCAACTACAGGGGGATCACACTCCTCAGCCTCCCCAGGAAAGTATATGCCAGGGTACTGGAGAGGAGAATTCGACCGATAGTCAAACCTTGGATTCAGGAGGAACAATGCGGTTTTCGTCCTGGCCGCGGAACACTGGACCAGCTCTATACCCTCTTCAGGGTGGTGGAGGGTTTGTGGGAGTTTGCCCAACCAATCCACATGTGTTTCATGGATTTGGAGAAGGCATTCGACTGTGTCCCTTGCGGTGCCCTGTGGGGGGTGCTCGGGGAGTATGGGGTGACCTTTGCTAAGGGCTGTCCATTCCCTGTACGACCAGAGCAGGAGCTTGGTTCGCATTGCCGACAGTAAGTCAGACTTGTTTCCGGTGCATGTTGGACTCCGGCAGGGCTGCCCTTTGTCACCGGTTCTGTTCATTATTTTTATGGATAGAATTTCTAGGTGCAGCCAGGGGCC